TTTGAATTTCTGCAGATGCATATTCGCTGTCTCCTCCTGAAAAAAAAAAAGGAATCTTTATCGCAAACGGTACTTGATGGTGCACAAAACTACTAAGAAGTATTGCAATAAGTCTGAATATGAATGAACTGAATGCAATAAATCGCAGAGGAAAAACACATAAGCAGATAATTTTTGGAAAAAATGAAATGAGTAGAAGCTAAAGGTGAATACAATAATTGAAACAACAACTGACCGCTTCGTCAACGAGTTTCTTCTGCTGTTTTGTTTTCTGTTGAAGTTTATCAATGGTTTCTTGCATTAGCACATAGCGTTTCTTATTTTCATCGAGTTGGAATTCGAGTTCACGTATTTTTCGATCTTGTTTTTTGATGGTCGTTTGAGTGTCTTGATAACGACGTTGTTGATTCTCCAGTTCCGAGCTTACGGCCTTAATTCGACGCTCTGCTTTCGACGTTTCTTTCTGAACAACTTTTATCTTGGTCAGTTCAGTATCGTCCACTCTCGATTGCAATTCTTTGATATTCGTCTCGAGTTGTTTTCGATGTCTATCTGCCATCTGGCTGGTTTCTTGGGCTTGGCGTAGCAATTCGCTGAGACGTGCTGCTTCAGCCGCTGCATTCTTTGTACGTTCTTCGGAAGCTTTCAGCTCATTATTGGCTTCATCCAAATCAGCCTGAATATCATTCAGAATCTCGAAATGTTATGGCAACCGTGTATTTATATCATGAATATATGTCAAGATTGAGCCTGACACTAACAGATTTTGAATCAAACAACTATATTTCGATCTGTTGCAAACAATCGACCTCACCCTAGTTTGTGGATTCAGGTGCTTTTTGGAATTATTTCGACTGATTAACAATAAGATCATTCTTGTTAATAATTATGGGGGATTGATGTTAGATGAACAAATGAATGGACTTCATAAGAGCACTCACTCTGTACAGAAGGATATCAGCTTCAATCCTCTTCTTCACTGCGCTCAAATCGGTTTCTTCCACTACGAAAGTGTCCAATTGACGTTTTGCTTCGTTGTACTCAGATTCAATTTGTTTTCTAATTCTTTCGGCCTAAAATTTGTTTTTTGTTTTTAAAGAAGGCGAATTCAGTGATTGCATATTGAATTCTGAAAATGAGACATTTGATGTGAAAGTGCAAAGTGTACAGACTTGTAATGCTTTGCTGGACGCATCGTCCTTTTCTGACTGTGCCACGGATAATCTCTTCTCAGATGCGATACAGTCATTTCTCAACTGCTCACGATGCGTTTGTTCTTCCTCGAGCGCCTTTTGCAATTCACCGATCTGCTCGCCGTATGCGACCACATTGCGTTGTGCTTCATCATTGGCCGTATTCGCGTGCATCAACGCCATTTCCATATCCTGTCATTTCAACAAATGTGTTTGTTCATTGAGCATGTGACTTTTTTGGCAAATATTTGATCAATGTATTGTCATCTTCATTTTTCGAAG